TAATTTTCACCTGAGTTGTTTCCTTTAATATGCAACTTTAATGCTATTTAGCTGACAACTGCCTATGGTTGTGAAACAGTTTATCCAGAATCTGAAAGTCTGGCCAGGCATGGTGGCTCACACCTGTAATCCCAGCATTTTGGGAGACCCAGGTGGGTGGATCACCTGAGGTCAGGAGTTCGAGACCAGCCTGGCCAACATGGTGAAATCCCATCTCTACTAAAAATACAAAAAATTAGCTGGGTGGTGGCGGCGAACACCTGTAATTGCAGCTACTTGAGAGGCTGAGGCAGGAGAATCGCTTGAACCTGAGAGGCAGAGGTTGAAGTGAGCTGAGATCATGCCACTCCACTCCAGCTCAGGTGACAGAGCAAGATTCTATCTCAAAAAGAAGAAGAAGAAAAAAAAAAGAATCTGAAAGTCTAAGACAGGAAAAAATATATTTTTTTTATGAATGTATAAGATGTTCCTCTATTGGCATGCCTAAGACATCTATGTATGTGTTGTGTACACGTTTCACTGCTGAAAATATAAAAAGGGGCTCTAATTAACTAAACTAAATTCCTCCCAAAGTTAGTTCAACCTATACCCAGAAATGGACAAGCACAGCTTGGAGGTTAGAAGCCAGATGGAGTCAGTTAGGTCAAATCTTTTTCACTGTCTCAGTTATAATTTTACAGCAAACGCTTTTATATGATCAAGTTGTCATATTATTATTAAGTTTTGGGTTGCTTAGAAAAAAACAGATTAAATTTTTTTTAAAAAAATTAAGGTTATTACATATGTTTAAAATTAAGGTTACATCTCTCTGTATGTGCTTTTAATGTCCTTGTGACATTAAGTTACAGGGCTTTGACTCCTGGGTCTAAAAAGAACACCAAGTCCTGCTAATTTTTTGTTTTTTTTTTTTTTTGAAACAGTCTCACACTGTCACCTGGGCTGGAATGCGGTGGCACAATCTCAGCTCACTGCAACCTCCACCTCCTGGTTCAAGCAATTCTCCTGCCTTAGCTTCCTGAGTAGCTGGAATTACAGGCACCTGCCACCACACCCAGTTAATTTTTTATATTTTTACAGAAATGGGGTTTCAACATGTTGGCCAGGCTGGTCTGAAACTCCTGACCTCGTGATTTGTCTGCCTTGGGCTCCCAACAGGCGTGAACCGCTGTGCCTGGCCAAGTCCTGCTAAATTTTAAACACTAACAGCAATTAAAGCCCCATCTTCAGGCCCAGTAGAAGATGCAAATCAAAGAAAACTGCATTCCTGAAACACAGGGACATAAATAAGCTATTCGACTCCTCAAGGCCCAGGGATGATCATGGAAGAGGTGGGCATGGGAGATTGTAAGCACCAATTTTGAGAGATAAAATAAGTTCAGTTTCTCACTGGGTGCAGTGGCTCATGCCTATAATCCCAGCACTTTGGGAGGCTGAGGCAGGTGGATCATCTGAGGTCAGGAGTTTGAGACCAGCTTGACCAACATGGTGAAACCCCATCTCTACTAAAAATACAAAATTAGCTGGGCATGGTGGCACATGTCTGTAATCCCAGCTACTTGGGAGGCTGAGGCAAGAGAATTGCTTGAACCCAAGAGGCAGAGGTTGCAGTGAGCTGAGATTGTGCCATTGCCCTGCAACCTGGGAAACAAGAGTAAAATTCCATCTCAAAAAAACAAAAAAATAAGTTCAGTTTCTCTATAAATTAGTCATTAATGTCAAAGGCACACTGATGCAGGACCAGCATATGGGCCCCCATGTCAGATAAACAAGGTTTTCTTGAAGCATTAACTGAATCCTAAGTAAAGTTTATGAAAGGCTTATGAAAGTTATATTTTATTGTCAACATATAATTTTGAAAAATATAGTTAATTAGTTTCAAGCTGTTTTTATTAGAGCTTATTGTTTGGAACATTAAGTCTCCTCTCAAAGAATGAAGGTTTTTGCCTTTTTTGAAATCCTTGAGTTATTACTTTAGTTAAATGAATGATCCTATATTATTATGTCAAGAGTTTTAAAATTTTAATATTTAACAAACTTTCCAAAATCAAATGATAAATCATGTCTTTTTCTTACCTAATTAATTCGTAAATATATTAGGTTCCGGCCGGGTGTGGTGTCTCACGCCTATAATCCCAGCACTTTGGGAGGCTGAGGTGGATGGATCACAAGGTCAAGAGATCGAGACCATCCTGGTCAACAAAGTGAAACCCCATCTCTACTAAAAATACAAAAATTAGCGGGGCATGGTGGTGCATGCCTGTACTCCCAGCTACTCGGGAAGCTGAGGCAGGAGAATTGCTTGAACCCAGGAGGCGGAGGTTGCAGTGAGCCGCATTGCACTCCAGTCTGGGTAACAACAGCGAAACTCCATCTCAAAAAAAAAAAAAAAAAAAAGATATAGGTTCCCTGAAGTCCAAAAATGACATAGTTTGGCTTCTTTGGTATAAAAATTATACAGGAAACATTGTCAAATATGAAATGGTATTTGGTTTTCTTTGGGCTGTATTTGTATAAATATCTTATTAGTATGTATTCCAAAATTATGGGAAACTCCTATAATTTTGATAAAACTTAGTGTGCATCATCAGTAGTAATTATAATTATATTACATTATTATGTGTTACAGAGGTAACAAATTTTCTTGCCAATTGTGCCTTGACTATGGCTGCCTTAAAACTTTTTGTCATCTATGGGCAATTGTTTTAGGAAAAAAACTGAGATTAATTTTTTTTTTTAAATTAAGGTTATTACACATGTTTAAAATTAAGGTTATTAAATCTCTCTGTATGTGCTTTTAATGTCCTTGTGACATTAAGTCACAGGGCTTTGACTCCTGGGTCTAAAAGTCTAAAAAAAATACCAAATCCTGCTAATTTTTTTTTTTTTTTTTTTTTTTTTTTTTTTTGAGACAGAGTCTCACACTGTCACCTGGGCTGGAGTGCAGTGGCACAATCAGCTATAGAACTCTAGCACGTGTTCCTAAACACAGGTTTCTGATAACCCTGGAAATTGTGACATTAGAATAGAGAAGAAAAACTTTCAGGACTCTCATGGAGAGCTGAAATGTTTATGAATATCAAGCAGAACAGGAGTTAACTGTGTAAACTGAACTCATAGAAGACTAAAGTAGTCTTTTTTATTTTTGCTTTAAATGTTGCTAATTCTTTGTTTTCATTTTTGTTTTTTTCAGAGTCAAGAAAACTTTTGTTTTGTGCTATTGACAGCTTTTAACAATTTCGTATACTCCTATGAACAAAATTTGAAGCATATTTGTTTCTCTCTACCTGATTTCTCCAGAATTTGGAAACTATTTGTGAGTATTCTTAACTTATGGCAATACAGTCATGTGCATAAGTGCAGTAAGACTGTTTTCGTTTTGCGACAGGACACAATTGGAGAAACTGGTTATTTTATCAAGGCTTTGACTGAAATGGTGTGCTTTCCTCTGAGGAACCAAGCCAATAAAAAATCCCTGGGAAAACTGGCCTCATACCTTCCTTATACAGGGTTCCTGACCTCTGATAAGTAAAAGTCCTGTCTCTGACAGGCCCAGAAGCCCCAAGTTTACTGTGTAACCTCAACAGGATCACCCAGCTCATAGGTATTTAATAGCACATATACATGGCTAGGTTTGGCTTTAAAAAAAGGTCTGAGATTCTTTCTATGGAATAAAGTTCTATCAGAGCCAATTTAAAAGCCTATTAAAAATAATTATTCTGGCTGCACTGTATATAAATAATTAGGCCAAGTATAATAAAGAAAATCAATCCTACCCTGATTTGTCTTTAGTAAAAATGGGAAACTAGAGAGAAAAATTATGTTTTGAAAACTATAGTACATCTGTCTTTAGCTTCTAGTCTTGCCTAAAGCTTTTCAATCTTTATCATTTTTCTGCCATTTGGACTGAATTCTAATTTTTCTTGGCTACAAGTCTTCAAAATAATGTTTTCAATTTTTTTCCTTCTTTTTTTCCCCCCAACTTAGAGTCACTGAAAACTAAGCTGTGCTTTCTTAAAGCCCTGAGAACTGAAGCTAGACAACTTAATCATAAGAAGAAAATATCAGCAACCTATTTAGTACCTAAGCAACTTTCATACCTGCCTACTGATGTATAGACTTCAGAGTAATGTGGCCTATGTCAATTTTCCAGGATTGTTCTTTTGTTTGTTGTTATTTTTCTCCCTTCCTCCCCCTATTTTCTCTTTGTAAGACATGAGACTTCATAACTTTCTAAAAATGAACTTTCCTAATAATTTGGAACCTACTCCTCTGTGAATAAACCATCCTAGCCATGAGAGGTCAGACAAAACCTGGGACCAGAGACTCAATTTCTTCTAAAATGCTTTCTCCAAAAGATTTTTAAAAAGAAAAGGGGGAAATGTGAAAGGAAAATATCTTGGGCCCCCAAAATCACCTTTAGCTTAAAGAGACCATTTGTCTCTTACCTATCTGTGACCTGGAAGCCTCCTTCCCACTTTGAGTCTTCCCACCTTTGGTTTGAATTGTCTCCCCTTTCCAGATGGAACCAATGTTTATCTTAAGTATGTTGATTGGTATCTCATGTGTCCCTAAAATGTAAAAAACCAAGCTGTGCTCTGATCACTTTGGGCACATGTCATCAGGCTCTCTTGAGGCTGTGTCATGGGCACATGTCCTCAACGTTGGCAAAATAAACTTTTAAATTAACTGAGACCTGTTTCGAATTTTCAGGATTAACAACCTCATGCAGAAAGCACAGATTCTGATTTCAGCCAAAGGTCATCAGGCTGTGTGGGCTCCAGGGGGTCACAGAGAACAGAATCCACCCCACCCTACCCCTCCACCATCAGCCAACAAAGATAGGCTAGGCTCTCCACTGCCTCTGCTGCGAAGCCCTCCTGTCCACTTAGTGGCCAGGAAGTGCTTTCTTGAGTCTGTATAGGATTTTTTCAACTGCAGTTTGGAGCTGCGCGCCTCTGCTGCTTGCCCTTTCTCTACCCCAGCGCTCCAGACAGAATTACCTGAGCCCATCTAGCTCGGTCTCCAGCCGCCTCCGCTCAACCACAAGCCCCACGGTGTTGGCAAACCTCTGTGGTGAGTGGGGCACCCTGGCAGGCAGGAGGAATATCTGCAGTGGTAGAGACAAGACGCACAGTGAGGTTGCCATCCCTCGTGGAGCACTCAGCGCCTCCAACATCCTGGGCGTCCCCAGCTGACTCCCAGGCAGCAGGGGGGTGCTGCTCGTCCACCCTGGTCCCTCTTCTCTGTCCAACCTCTACACCGGGGAACCAGAGGGAATATTGGACTGTGCTGAGGATGGGGCAGCCCGGAAGAGGGAGGATGGGGAAGAGGGAGGATGGGGAAGAGGGAGGATGGGGAAGAGGGAGGATGGGGAAGAGGGAGGATGGGAAGGGGGAGGATGGGGAAGAGGGAGGATGGGAAGGGGGAGGATGGGGAAGAGGGCGGATGGGAAGGGGCAGGTAGGCAGGAGAGGGTGTAGAGGGCAGGAAAAGGTAGGGAGGACAAGACCTCAGCCGGGGCCAGGAGAAGTGGACAGAGCGGATTCCAGTTGTGGCCGCCCTTCTCTCCCCACCCTGCTGGGATCTGGCCTCACCTCTCCCTGCCGAATGACCACATCCCGGTGTTTCCCTCGCTCCAGGACTCGGAGAACCATGTCTCCCTCCAGTTGGTAAAATACCTGTGGGACAGGAAAGAGGCTTGGACCCTCCCTTTCTCTTCCAGGTCCTTGGCTACTGCCTAGGAAATTCCTGAATTTCTCTTCCAGGTCCTTGGCCACTGCCCAGAATTCCTGAAGTCTGACCAGGAAACCTGACAAACTTTCTGAAGGCCTTAGAGTTGATGGGCAGCTCCATCACTTCTGTCCTGAGGCCTGTCTCCCTGACGCATGCCATGGACTGGAGTGCTGGGGACATATGGGATCATGTCTTGCAAGTGATGACCAGGGTACCCAGGATGCACAGCAGTTGCCTGGCTGGCAGGCAGGAGCTAGATGAAATGCTTACTGGGGAACCAAGTGACCCAGCAGTCAGGTAGGGGACCCACCCATTTACTGTGTGCCAGGGGCTGTGCCAGGCCCTTTTCTACCAGAAACCTTCACAGCAACCTCCAAAAGTATCATTAACCCCATTCAGCAGAAAATAAAGAAGGAAAACCAAGACTCAGAGAGAAAATCAACTGGCCAAGGTCACATAGCTAGTTAATCTCCAGCTGGAGCCACAGCTTAGACCCAAGGCTGTATGTGGCTCTGGAGCCTCTGGCCAGGGTGACACCCTGGCAGGGGGTGGAGCTGTGGAGGTTGCTGGGGTAAATGGACTCGATGATGCTGGCAGCCTGGGATGGGTTGGGGATTGTGGGGGATGGGAGCACATACCTCCTGTGCTCTCCTGGGGGGCTCCTACTGCATTTTTCTGATTCCATCCTAAGTCCCTTATTTACTGAGATTACCCCATGTTTACTGAGATCACCCCATGGAATTGGGAGGAAGAGGAGGAGGCAGACGGGTTTTCTCTCCAGCAGTCACACATTGCCTGGGTGTTAAAAGCTCCAGCCAAATAGTTGAAGGGATGTTGTCAACAGCATCCACTAAGAGAAAGCAAGCTGAGCTCAAGGGACTCGGAGAAAAGTTGCTCTGCCATCTGCCACTAGGCATACATAGTCTCAACCCTTCTGAAGGGCAATTTGGCCATGAGCGGGAAGAGCCCTGGCAATTCACACTTCTGTAGGGACTGTGGGGCTTCTTGGGATGCAGGACCTTCAGTGCTAAAGCTGGGAAAGTTCTGGGTGAATCCGGATAGCTGTTCACCATACAACCTCAGTAATTTCACCTCAGGAATGAGACCTCAGTTAATCAGAGACATACTGCCTCATGGTGTACATTCAAGGCTTTTTTTCTTTTCTTTTCTTTTTTTTTTTTTTTTGAGATGGAGTCTTACGCTGTCATCTAGGCTGGAGTGCAGTGGTGCAACCTCAGCTCACTGCAACCTCTGCCTTCCCAATTCAAGCGATTCTCCTGCCTCAGCCTCCTGAGTAGCTGGGACTACAGAGGCACGCCATCATGCCTGGTTAATTTTTGTATTTTTAGTAGAGATAGGGTTTCACCATATTGGTCAGGCTGGTCTCAAACTCCTGACCTTGTGATCTGCCTGCCTCTGCCTCCCCAAGTGCTGGGAATACAGGGGTGAGCCACCACTCCCGGCCGCAAGGCTGTTTTTAACACAGTGTATAGTTAAAAGCCCTCAGCTCTGCCAGGGTGCTCTGTGCCCTTGGTCAATTCAGTTAGCCATCTGTGCCTCAGTTTCCTCATCTATGAAGTGACAGTTGTCTACTCAAAAGATGGCTGTGAAGATGCCAGAGATACTTGACACATATGTACCCAATGCATAGTAAGCACTCAATCAGCCTCTAGCTATTAATATTCATCATGAAAGTAATGCTAATATCATTATAGGGGAAATGGAAATATTTGATGGTAGATTCAACTATGAAATATTATGCAGCCATTAAAAACTATGTTTTTGAATAACTGTTAATAAAATGGGAAAACGGAAAATGCAAAAGATATGTTAATGATTCAAAATCATACCCAGCAGGGTTTGAGTTTGTAGCGATAACGAATATAACATAGGCAACCTGTGCACAGCGGCCCTCTGTGTGGTGCGATTATGAATGAGGTGAGGATTTTTCTTTCCATATTTCTCGTATTTTCTACAAGGAGCAATATTTGCTTTTATTATTAAAACAACCCGTAGACCAGCTGTGGTGGCTTATGCCTGTTATCCTAGCACTCTGGGAGATGGCAGGATCACTTGAGGCCAGGAATGGAGACCATTCTGGGCAACATGGTGAGAGCCCATCCCTACAAAAACTAGAAAAAATTAGCTGAGTATGGTGATATGTGCCTGTAGCCCCAGCTAATTGGGAGGCTGAGGTGGGAGGATTGCTTGAGCCCCGGAAGTTGAGGCTGCAGTGAGCTACAATTGCACTACTGCACTCCAGCCTGGGTGACAGTGAGACTCCATCTCTAAAAAACAAAAACAAACACGAACAAACAAAAGCCCCATAAATATTATTTAATACAAATAATAACAAACCTACCACGTTCTCTTATAGGGAGCAATTCAATATGCTCTCCTCCCCCACCCCCCAAGCTGGGAGGAAGTGTGTGTGTGTGTGTGTGTGTGTGTGTGTGTGTGTGTGTGTGTGTGTCTAGTGTCTAGGGTCCTTTCACATGAGGGAGGGGAGGAGGGGCAAAGGAAAAGTTGGGAGAGGGGAGTCTGGAGGGATCCTGTGGGCCAGATTTAAACCCTTACCAGGCAGGCTACTTGGTATTTTCTCGCTCTTGTCCCCTGCTCAGAGGCCTTCCCTGTGATGAGGGGCAGGCCTGGCCTGGAGCAGAGGCACAGATCACTGAACAGCAGAAAATCCTGAACAGCTGTGGGCAATTTGAAAGGAATTATGCTCACTTTGGAAGTAAATGATGTTTGGGGGCCTGGGGCTGGCTAGAAGATTAACTGTACTGGCTCAGGCAGATATTGAATAGAATCTGGCTTTCTGACCTGGAAAGGCCTTTCAGGCAGGCCAAGTGGAAAGGCAAGCGGGTAGAGGAGCAATGCGTATCAGGCACTGACTCTGCACCCGGCTCTGTGCACATACTCTAAGCACACTGAATTCTTCCATCAGACCGGGCCATTGTCCCCATGTGCTTAAGGACACAGGCTCGGAGAGGTGACATGACATGCCCCATCCAAGATCCCGGGTAAGCGGCTAAGAATTCCAATGTAAGTTCATCTGCCTCTGGCCACCTGCACGCCCCAAGAAGGGAGTGAGGTAGGTGGAGTCTATGCGGTAGGTGTGAGGAGTGAGGGAGGTGGAGTCTAAGAGGTAGGTGGCACTGGGGAGCAGGGGGCTGGGCCAGGAAGCTGGAGGTCCCCTGACCGCTATTGCAGAGGCAGAGCTCAATGAGGAGGAAAGTTACTGAAAGGGGTTCAGTAAGAGGCCAGATTTGAACCCAGGTCTGAGCAGCTCCCCTTTTCTCTCTGTTCAGGACACTGCTTCTACAGCACAGTCTGGAGTCTCTCCAGGCTCCCGCTGGGTGAGGACAGGCAGGGACAGAGAAGAGGCTGCCCAAGTGTGGCACCACCCTGCCACCAAAACCTCCTCAGGGTGGGACCAAGCTCTGTCGCAAGCTCACCTGCAGCCAGATTCCTCCCAGACACCTGAGCGTCCCTTCAGAGTGAGGACTCATGCACTGGCCAGCCCTCCTCATCACTCAGCTGCCATATGAATCAGGGCATGAGCTATCCCTCAGGGGACACTCAGCCACCTGAGCTTGGAGAAACTACGGGATGGGGCATGGGGCAGAGGCAGCAGGGGAGAAGGGAAGCCAAGACCAAGGGAGACAGGAGAGCTGGGTGCTGGGACCAGGGCTGACGGAGAAAGCCGAAGCCCCTGGAAGACTCCACAGCCAGCTGTGCCTCCCCCACCAAAGCCACTCCAGGTCCACATACATCCCCTATATAGTTTTAGATTTTCCCATTGACTTTTTCCACCAAGCAAGCAGTCTCCAGTGAGGTGTGTTTGCAAGAAGGGGGTGGCCAGGAGTGGTGCAGGGCCCCTGGAGGGTGAGAGGTGAGGGGTGACTGGTTCTGCTGGCCCAGGCCCAATAGTTCCTCTGCACAGCCTTGGGTGTGCCACTGCACACATGAGGCACTCAGCAAATATTTGTTGAATGGGTCATTCTCCCATGCTCACTACTGTCCCTGGCTGTGGCCTCCGTGCCCTCAATGGGGACAGAGGCTGTTGATCAAGCTGGACTCTGATCTTGCACCCCCCAGAATCAGACTCCCTGAGAGGATGGGGAGCCCCTCTACTGGTCCTTTTCCATCGGAGGAGATTCTGTGTCTCTCCTTAAGGGGATTCACCTTTCTCTCTAAATTTTGCTTTTGTTTATTTACTTGGGTAGGGGAGTAGAGAAACACAGTCCAAACTTCAAGGTACAAAAGTTGATTCAAGGCAAATTTCCCCCTCCCACCTGCCCCAGCCACACAGCCACGGATGGGTTTTGCAGCCTCTAGTTAAGGAAGGGCCACTCAGCCCCAACTCCTCCTTCAGCTCCAGGCACTCCCCTAGCATGCCCACCCCTCGGCCGCTTGCTCCTCCTCCCTCAGCCCCTCCCGCTCCCTCTGCCACCCCCACAGCCCGGCCCTCACCCACAGTGTTCCGGCACTTTGCCTCTGTCCACAGGAAAGAAAATTTCATGGAGAACCTGGATCCTGGGACCAGAAGGGGAGTGCCCTCGAAGGTTGGTCTCATTTGGGAGACCAGTTGAATCTGTCAAGTTTGTGGGGAGGAGACTAGGGTATCCCCTGCGCATGGCCAGCCCCTATATCCAGGGGGAAGATGCCTCATGGCTAGAGCCTCTCTCACCTTCGGGGTGTGGGCTGTTTCCTGGGGCTCCCCCAGCAGAGGTGCTGGCCGTCGAGCTGTTGCTGCCTGCCCACCAGCTTGGAGGTAGCAGTTGTGCCTCCTTCACTCTTCGGCCACGTGTCCACCCCATCCAGCCCATCATCTCTGGCCCTCTTGTGGGAAGTGTCTGCTCCCTGCGGGGCCAGGCTCCTTGCCCGAAGCCCTAGATCCAGGGAGACGCAGTCAAGCAGTCAAGCCTACCTCTTCACCCTCCTCGATGTGATAGTCCTTCCTGGTGTTGGGGCCTCCGACGAACATGACTTTGAGCTGCTCCTGGTGCCTGCAATGCACAAAGTGGGGGAGACGTTCTAAACCATCTCCCAGGAGTGAAGAGGGCAGGGGTCCTGTGGGAGCCAGGTGGGAGCCCGAGGACCCTTGGGAGAAGGAGCAGGCCTGTTTTGGCTTCACTATCCCTGTCCCTCCACTCTCATCCATGCGTGCCTGTGTGCATCTAAGTGTCTGTGTCTCTGGGATGGTGTCTGTGTCTGCGTCTCTGGGATTGTGTCTGTGTCTGTCCCTCTTTGCATGCCCCCGTCACGTCCTCTGACCCAACAAGGGGAATGATGTGGTGATGAATCTATGGCTTCATCAACCAGGATCCCAGGCTGAGATGGAGATTACAGCCGGGCACAGTGGCTCACGCCTGTAATTCCAGCATTTTGGGAGGCTGAGGCAGGCAGATCACCTGAGGTTGGGAGTTCAAAGCCAGTCTGACCAACATGGAGAAACCCCATCTCTACTAAAAACACAAAAAATTAGCTGGGCGTGGTGGCGTGTGCCTGTAATCCCAGCTACTGAGGATGCTGAGGCAGAGAATTGCTTGAACCCGGGAGGTGGAGGTTGCAGTGAGCTGAGATCGCATCATTGCAATCCAGCCTGGGTGACAGGAGCAAAACTCCATCTCAAAAAAAAAAAAAAAAAAAAAGAGAGTGAGATCTCAAATTACAGGGGAGCAGCAAATTGGAGGCTTCTTCCCGGGATGGGCAGGGCAGGGGCCAAACACCCTCGACCTGCCAGTCACCCATGCGGTGTGACTATGGGACCCTGCACTCTCCCCTGGCTGGAGGCATGGCTCAGTGGATACAGGAGAGGTGACATCTAGCAGGGGCCTCAGGCAGCGTCAAGTCAGTGTGGCATGTTAACAAGCACAGGCTCTGAGGCATGTTAATAACCTTATGTGTAAAACAGAGAGACAGTTTTTACCTCACAGAGCTTAAACAGAATACATGAATTGATATTTGGAAGCTCTCAGAATAGTGCCTAGCATATGGCAAGCACTATTTAAGTGTTTGATAAAATAAATAAACCTAGCCAGGCTTGGTGGCTCATGCCTCTAATCCAGCACTTTGGGTGGCAGAGGTGGGTGGATTACTTGAGGTTAGGCATTTGTGACTTGCCTGGCCAACATGGTGAAACCCTATCTCTACTAAAAATACAAATATTACCAGGCCTGGTGGTAGGCAGCTATAATCCCAGCTATTTGGGAGGCTGAGGCACAAGAATGGCTTGAACCTGAGAAGTGGAGGTTGCCGTGAGCTAAGATTGCGCTACTGCAGTGCAGCCTGGGTAGTGGAGACTCTGTCCCAAATAAATAAATAACACACACAAATAAACTCAATACAACCTTCTTATTTTACAGTCTGTTTAACTAGCCAAGAGAGGGTCACCTAGTCAGGGAATGACTGAACCTGAGCCAAGTCCCAGGCTCCCCAACTGCCAGGCTGGCACTGGGTCTGCGGGGCACCTAGTCAGCTGTTTGGAACAAAAGCACGCTTATGGAACAAAAGCATGCTTAACCTCCTCAGCCTTTCTGCTGTTGGTGTGGTGTTACCTTTTTATGGAAAAAATACCTCAGCACCTCCTGAGAACAACCCACCCCACCCCCCACAGCATGATCTTTTTTCAGGGTGTATACTCCGGGGTGAATAAGCCGCGGAACATGTCTGGATGGGACTTCAGGGTCTTCCGAGGTGGCCCTGCCACAGAGGGCAAGGGCAAGGGCTTTCCTCAGAGCAACGGAGGTGCTGGGTCTGGATCATTTGTTCATACAGGGCACAGCAGGCTAGAGGCTGCTTGCATGGATGACAGTGGCATGGAATGGCAGGGGAGGGGCTATCCCACACCATCATCATGCATGCAGGGGCTATCCCACACCATCATCATGCATGCAGGGGCTATCCCACACTATCATCCATGCAGGAGCTATCCCACACCATCATCATCCATGCAGGGGCTATCCCACACCATCATCATGCATTCAGGGGCTATCCCACACCATCATCATGCATGCAGGGGCTATCCCACACCATCATCCATGCAGGGGCTATCCCACACCATCATCATCCATGCAGGGGCTATCCCACACCATCATCATGCATGCAGGGGCTATCCCACACCATCATCATCCATCCGTCATCCTCCCCCTGTGGAGGAGGTCTGAGCTCCCAAACCTAGACTGGCAGGTTCTTTCTGAGTGTCCTCTCTTGTGGGCTGTTTTTTAGCCCATGGTGGGAGGCATGGGGACGAGACGGAAGAGCCAGTCTCTTTCTTTTTCCCTCCCTTTTGGGAGGCTGGGCCCAATAAGCCAGAAACACACCTGTGGCGCTGATGTTTGCAAAGTGGGTGAGGTTGCAGGGCAGGAGGAGGCTGTCATGGAATAGTCTGTGATTAAAGAACTTAAAGCTACATAGAGCTTCAAGGAGGGGAGAGAAGCTGTGAGGAACTTGACGGGGAAGGGTGTGCCCTGGAGAGCTGGGTGTGGAGGCTCTGAGACTAGAAGCACTGGGGGTGACGTTGGGGAGCGATGTTGAGAAGGCTGAACCAGGAGGTGGACCAGCCATGGAGTCTGGTCTTGGCCTAAGGGGTGTTGGGAAACCTGGAACGTTGCTATTTTTCAAAAATCAACTTCACTGAGATGTAATTTAGATACATACAGAGAATTCTTAAATAAGTCCACTCAAGAACTCTTTCAACCCAGCAATCAGAATGCAGAAACCAGACCTGCCCCTCCTCTGGCCAGACCCTCCAGCAGCTTCTCACTTTGCTGAGGGGTGCTATGGGCTGAATAGCAACCCCTCCTCCCAAATGTATATGTTGAAGTCCTAACACCCAGTCCTGCCGAATGTGACCTTATTTGGAAATAGGGTCCTTGAGATGTAGTTAGGTTAGGATGCGGTCACCCTGAAGTAAGGTGAGCCCCTGATCCAATATGCCTGGTGTTCTTTTAAAAGGGGGAAATTTGGACACAGATACAGACACACATACAAGGAGGTCGCCTTGTAAAGATGAAGGTGGAGGTGGGCATGGTGCAGCAGAAGCAAGAACACTAATGATGCCAGCAAACCATCGAATGCTAGGGAGAGGCCCGGGCAGATGGATATGAGACCTCAGGGGGAGTTGTGGGGGGACTGAGAGAGAGCGACTGCAGACAGGGATAAAGTGGTGGGAGGGGGCAAAGGTGACAGCACGTGGCGACGGCACTTATTTGACTGGCGGGCAACAGCAGTGGTAGGAGAGGTCTTTGGGGAAGAGATTGACTATCGGCCACGTGGTATTGCATGGTGACCAAGAGTGAGAGTGGACTCTGGAGTAGAACTGTTCCGTGGGTTGAGTCTAGAGCCTACCTGACAGGCACTCTGTGACACTGGAAAAGTGACTTAGGAAAATCCCACCTCATGGCGCTACTGTGAAAATGAGAGAAGATGAGGTAAAAGCACTTGGCATAGTCCTGGGCCCGCTGAAGTTTAGTGATCGCAGCTGTCTGGTTTGAGGTCCCACCCACTGACCATGTCCTGTGGACACAGCAAAAATGGGGAATGTGAACCTTGATCTAGCTGGCATGTGAGGGCCAGCCATGGAACTGGGGGGATGAGGGAGGTGACTGTGCGGCAGGGCAGAGCCTGAGATGTCTGCCCTAGAAAGATGGCAGCTGGACAGCCAACCCTTTTGGGTGCTGCAGGCAGAGGTAGCCTAGGTAGGGTCTGGTGAGGGGTGTGTGTGTGTGTGTGTGTGTGTGTGTGTGCGCGCGCACGCGTGCGAGCTCACAAGTGTTCCTGCAAAGAGGGGCCCTGGAAAGAGCAAGAAATCAAGAACTTCCCAAAGGAGCAGATTCTCTGCCTTCCCCTTTGCCTGTGGCTTCTGGGAGGGGTTGGGGTGTGTAATCAGGCTGCTCCCAGGCCTACATTCGAGTGCACTTCTGGGGCCTTGAAAACCACCCTCCCCACACTTCTGAGTTTTCCCAAAATGCCAGTGTCACTCGGGGTTGGGGAATCTTTTCTCAGCCCCAGCAGAAGGGGTGCGCCCTGCCATCTCATCTCCCACAGCCTCAGAGCCATCTCAGCCTTGTTCAGAAGTCAAGGCCACAGTCACCAGAAAGAGGAACAGGCCGACGTGGTGGAACCGGAACAGGCGGTTTCCATCTTCCCCCATGAACCCAGAGATTGAAGCTTCCCTTCTGCAGGCTTTTGGGTCCAGGAACTCGGAGCTGGAAGGTGAGGGTGCAGATGGAGGGGAGGGAGGAGGCGAGGGCAGGGGGAGGCCATGACGGTGCAGGACTCACATGAGCTTGTTGCAGACCGGGGGCTGGAAGGAAGCCCGGTTCTCCTCCACCCAGGCCCTCACTCTCACGAGGCGCTCCATGACTGTCGGGGCGCCTCCTGGAAGCGCTGTACTCAGCGGAGGGAGGCCCGCGGCTCCGCCCAGCTGCCTGTCGGCAGCCTTTTTAACCAGAACCCCAGGCTCACAAGGCGGAGCAAACCCCAGCGACCCCACCCCCGCGACCCCGCGGTGGGTGCTTGGGGCCTGCGGACACTGGCCCCTGGTGGACTTTGGTCTGAGCCCGCCGCCCTCCGCTCCATCCCAGGCCCTGGAGAGCGCGGTGGCCGCAGCGCTGGGGCACCGGGTCCGCGGGATCTCCGCGGGGCAGGGAATCGATCTCCGCCCCCGTCCCGGGGCGTCCCGCACACTGGCGCCGGCGGTGAGGGCTGCTCCCGGCGGAGGACACAGAATCCACACCCTTCGTGGGCCCTTGTCCCCAGACGTCCTTCCTTCTACGCCCCGGGGGGAACCCCAGGGAGGGCCCCCAGAAATACTACAGGGAGAGAGCGCGGGTTGGAAGTCCCAGCGCCTGAGAACACGGTGCTGGCGCTGGGGTCAAGGCTTGGCTTTCGCATCTGGAAAATGGAAATGACTGCCCGGCCACTGAGGGCTGCGGTGCGCACCCAGCGTGAACGCGCGCGGGGGGTCCCCGCAGGTCCGGATTCAGGGTGAGCCCCAGACCTGCAGTGTGCGGCCGACAGACTCCGCGGCGGGGTCTGCGAGGGGAACGGTGCGGGAGCCGAGCTGCGGGGCTGGGGCTCAGTGCAGGACCGTGGGCCCTCCCCACCCGAGGCCCGGCAGAGCGGCCGCTGTCCTCTGCGCAGCGTCGCAGTGGACCCGGAGCCGCGTGCAGAGCTCCTTAGGCGTCTTAGGAACACACTCAGCTGGTACGCAGCTATGGGAGAAATTTGGCAGATGCAGACACTGGCCTCAGTGTCCCAACCCTCGGGAATCTCGGGGTGCTAATGATGACAGGCCCGTGTGAGAGGCTCTAACAGTTATCCTGGGGATGAGGGGCTGGGGCGCTGGGCCTGGGCGTGCAGGTGTGAGGAAGGAGAAACCTGAGCGGGTGTGGAGGATGGAGAGGGAATCCGACACCTGCCTTTCTGCAGGACGCAGAATTCTTAGGAAGACTGAAGGAAGTAGAGAGGGAGCTGGCGGGTGGGGGAGGAGCAAAATGGCTCAGGCCTCTGACACCAGAATCCAGACTTTAGAGTTTAAGAAACTAAACGCCTCCAAATCATGCCCTCACAGCTCGCCTGGCGTGGGCTGGTTTTCTCAGCATCCCAGACATAAAGACTCCCCTGGTGCAACTGAAAATCAAAACCCAGACAGCTAAGAAGCCAGATTCCCCACTGAGATCCCTCCATTTCCTCTCTGCCACTATTTTCTTTTTCATTTTTCTCTCTCCTTCTTTGTAGTTATTTGTCTAGCACAATTTTAGCTGAGCACTTCTTTCTAGAATATCGTTTAGCACCCAAATAACTCACACCACCTTCTTTATTTTTCTCATCTACAAGTAATCAGAGGAGACATAAACAATGACACATGAAACACCAAGGATCTGAGATGTGTTAGGTTTGCTTTGAGTGCTAGTTAAGTGGAGGGGTGGGTGAGTGGGTGGATGAAGGCATCAATGAATTCACATGAAAAGGAGAAAAAATGGATTTCAGCCCAACAGATGTTCTGTTACCATAGTGCAAAGGAAAGAATGATAGGTACTCTGTATTTTAACTGATATAATCAAATAATGTGAATTATTAAGGCCACAAGCAGAATTTTGGAGGTCTGGATTATCCGGAGTAACCCTCGTCACAAGCTAAAGCACTGCTATATTATCACCACCAGATATGCGCTCTGGTTTGTGCTGTGTAGAGAAAATACCATGTCTGGTCTACTCAATTGGCACGGCTCCTGGCTCAGGCACCACTGGACTCCAATGTTCAGAAAACGGACAGTTCCCATGTTGTGAGTATTCTGGCACTGTTGAGTTGAAACCGTCTGGAATCCTTCTGGATATTGACTGTTGGGACCCTTGTAGTTTCTGCAATTTACCCGCTTCCAGGAGCCACCTCTCTCCTCTGCACACAGGAGCTCATCTATATTAAAGAATCAGAAGCAAATAGCATCTACCCTAGGATCCACGCTCAGAGGATCTGTCTGCTTGCTGGTGTCTTGCCCTGGCCTCCCCTGGGTGCTGTTTGCCTGCCCAGGTCACTGAGACCAGTAGATCCTTCTACGCTTTGCTGAACCTGGCTGGTAATAGCTATCTGACCCTTCAATTCTTCCATACATTAAACTAGTTGCTCCAGTGAATCCCTTTTCTGGCCCACCGTGTTCTGTTTCTGCCTCTCTGTCTCCCTCATAGAATTTAGCAAATATTTTAAAACAAATAGCTGGCCGGGCATGGTGGCTCACGCCTGTAATCCAAGCACTTTGGAGGCCAAGGTGGGCAGATCACCTGAGGTCGGGAGTTCAAGACCAGCCTGACCAATGTGGTGAAACCCCATCTTTAAAAAAAACAAAAACCAAATAGCTTTCTATGAACGAAGGGGCTAGATCATGAACTGCTCCGGTTATTTGGAAATCTAGGTTCTGGTCCTGCTGTCTCCTTAACCTGAGTTATTTACAAGTCTGTTTAAAAGTTTCTAGACATACATTAGTTTGGTTTTTGTTTGTCTGTCATTTTGTTTTTCACTTCTAATGGTATTGCATTGTGGTGAGAGAATATAGTCTGTGTTGTATTACTTTGGGTGGGAGACGTGTTAAGCTTTCCTTTGCAGCTTAGCTTATGGTCAATTTTTGTGAATAGGTATTTTCTGCTTAGAATGCAGTTCTGAAAATCAAACTAAATGGCTTACGCAGAGCATTTTACATAGAAAAATGTAATGTATATTTCAGCTCATGAAAACTAAATTACTTAATTACTTAAATGTAAGTAATATTTTGATAAGCTCATGAAAATTAATTAAAAAATGTAATTCTGCATCTTTCTATTAGGTCAAGCTATTGTGTTACTCAAATAGTCTTGGTCCTTATTTTTTAAAGTGGTTAATATTTTGTTTTCCAAGAGAGATATGTTAAAGTCTAACACTGATTTTTTTGGTCACTTTCTCCTTTTTTTTTTTTGAGACTGGGTCTCACTCTGTGCCTAGGCCGGAGTGCAGCGGTACGATCTCAGTCTCAACCTCTCTGGGCTCACATGATCCTCCTACTTCAGTCCTCTCTGAGGCAGGGACTACAGGCTCGCACCACCATGTCAGGCTACTTTTCGTATTTTTTTTTTTTTTTTTTTCAGAGATGGGGTTTCACCATGTTGCCCAGGCTAGTCTCGAACTCCTGGGCTCAAGCAATAGCCTCCCTGTAATCATAAAGTGCTGGGATTACAGTGGTAAGCCACTGTGCCCAGCCTCTCCTTATTGTTTAACAACTTTTGCTTTACATATTCTGAATGTATGTTGTTAGATGAAAACATGCTCACAACTAATTTATCTTCTTGTTGTAGTGTTTCTTTTATCTCTAAGAAATATTTCCTCTTAGTTTCTTTTCAAGTTGACTTCAACTTTGATATTAATATTGCTACATCCACTTTGTGTTAGTATTTTCCAGATATGGTAAGCTGATAAAAAAGATGACACAATAACCCCTTCCCTTCCCGAATCCATACCCCATTGCCATGTGACTTTGCCACTCTTCCATTAAAAGGGGAAGTTGACCGGGTGCAATGGCTCACGCCTGTAATCCTAGCACTTTGGGAGGCTGAGGTGGGCGGATCACAAGGTCAGGAGTTAGAGACCAGCCCATCCAACATGGTGAAACCCTGTCTGTATTAAAAATACAAAAATTAGCCAGGTGTGGTTGTGCATACCAGTAATCCTAGCTACTGAGGAGGCTGAGGCAGGAGAACCACTTGAATCTGGAAGGTGGAGGTTGCAGTGAGCTGAGATTGCACCACTGCGCTCCAGCCTGGGTGACAGAGCAAGACTCCATCTCAAAAAAAAAAAAAAAAAAAAAAAGGGAAGTCCATTTCCTCATTGGTTGAATCATGGTTGGCACTGTAGTTTGTGAATACAGAAGGCAGCAGAACTGATGCTATGGGACATCTGAGTGTAGTCCTCACCAGGTCTGCCAGCTGCTGATCTCATCACCTGGAATGCTGCTGCCACCACGTACAGAAGCCTCAGTTAGTGTCCTGGAGGGTGAGAGACCATGTAGAGGGTGAGGCTGGCCAACAGCCTGCACCAGCTGTGTAAGACCATCTGAGATGACTATGCACGAGTGACCCCAGGGGAGACAGGCGGAGACTTGCCCAGCTGTCTTGTTTGTTACTCTAAGCCATTCAATTTTTTTTAAGATTAAAAAAGTTAGTTTAGGCAGAAATAGTATGCAAATAATTATATAAATATTGCATGGATATGACCAAAACCTTGAAGCTGATATGCAGTGAGCTAAAATTTGCAAAATGCTTAATGAGAGAATGGCCTAAAGAGCTATTCTGTACTCTGAACTCTGCAAAGGCAAAGACCAAGATTTATCCACCTCCAATATCTCCGCTGGAACCTTACACAGTACCTGGAACACAGTGGACTCTCTACAAATATCGAATTGGGAATTCACTCATTATAAACACTGGGCATCAGCTCTGGTTCTTCCAGGCTCCAAAACTAACATATGAGCAGATTTCTCCAGGTAGATTGGAATGAAGTAAACCCCAAAGAATCAGGAACTAGAGCCAAGTAAAGAAAAAACCCCAAGAAGCTTTGAGTAAAAAAGGATACTGTTTGCACACTGCGTATGGGAAAACAAGTAGAAAGCCCAAAAACAAAAGAAAAACTTAACAGCAAAGAAGAAATAAACAAAGCCCTACAAATTCTACAGCTTAAGTTAGCCTAACCACAGCTGAGATATGGCTTCCCAAAAAACTAAATGACAAGTTGAGAGAAAGTGTTCGTTGTCAGTCAGGTCAGCTGTTCCTGAGAAGAAACTAAATTCGAAACTAGACAAACTCTCCCACTACGAAAAACGTATATAGACAGGGAAGTATTTTTTGAAGTGATACTAATAAATTGACTTGGGTGATTTGATAGCTTTCATGAAGAATTCTGAGAATTGGTTAGTGTATTTGA